TTCTGTCACTCCATATAACAGACTATCTAGCTCAAGCCTACCTAATGCCCTTCCTTGCCAGTTAAGTTGCCTCCTTCCCAAGACTGTTCTGGTTCTGTGGATCCACAGAGACTTCTAGTATCACCCAACAGGTTTGGGAGGTCAGCACAGGTCTGACTTAGCCAATCAAGGTTCTCTGTGTCTCAACTACAAAAGTAACCACACTTTCCTTTCTTGTGTCATAGACCCTAAGTGTTATTGTTGTGGTTTGGTTCTGTCCATTCAATTTCCACTCTTTGTGAAGCCCTGTTACTGAATACAGCTGGTGCAGAGTTTTCTATGCTATAATCTTTATAGGAAAAGATCCATCAGGTCTTTCTCCTATGGAGTCACTCGATGGATTCAAATTGTCAATGTTTTAGTTGTCAGTAGAATCCTTAATTATTGTGTCACCGGAAGTTTTTCAAATGTTACCGTCTATACCTTAATCTTTCTCCCCCACATATATAGTCATTCAGTTTTTCAAATAAACTCAAATCATTTTCATCTTACTTTTCTCTTAAATTTCCAAGTTAGGATCTTGTGGTTATGTGATTTCCTAGGATCATGTTCTCCTTCCTAATATCTCTATCTTTAATTATAAATTAATTACTGCAACTATATTCACAAAACCTGTTTTCCTACCATTTGGTCAACTTTAAAATATAGATCACTGCTTTTTTTCCCATTTTCTTCCTCCTACCATAATACTGTTTTATTTCTTGGTTTTGAGGTTTTTAAAAATTTCTTGAATTCCTTTTGTTTCTTTAATTTTACACTGTTTTACCTACAAAGTTAGTGTACATGGCTCTCACACTAGATCCCCCCACCTCCCCAACTCATCCCCCCTCAACTCATCAAGCCATGTGATTCCGTGATTAGCCCCCTGCCCATCTCCACCCTTCTGCTCCCCCCTCCTCTCCTTAGATCCTCATACACGTTTTACTCGTTATTTATTTCTACCATAAGGGTCTTATACAGTATTTGTCTTTATGGGACTGAATTAGTTCACTTAGTATAATACTATCCAGTCCCTCCCCTTTAGGTAGTGATTTATAAATCATTGCTCCTGCATGCTGTGTAGTATTCCGTCATGTGAATATACCATAATACGTCAATCCACTTGATTGTGGTTGGACATTTGGGCTGTTTCCATGTTCTGGTCATGGTGAATAGTGCTGCTATGAACATTGGTGTGCAACTCTCTGTGTGTGCCTCAGTTTTCATTTTCTCAGGGTATATTCCAAGCAGTAGAATAGCTCATATGGAATTTCTATGTTTAGCTTTCTGAGGAAATGTCAAATTGCCTTCCAGAGTGGTTGTGCCATTTGACAAGCCCACCAACAGTGTATAAGAATTCCTGTCTCACCACAACCTATCATAATACTGCTTTGTCATTTTCAGATACCAATGAGTCAACTATGGCTTAGCAACCCTGTTAGCAACAGATCTGAACCTTATTCTATCCCACCCCAGCTTCACAATCTCTGTCAAACACTAGTCCATTATTGGAGTCACTATGTGGCTCTATCTCCTGGAGGATTTTTCTTCTCCTTAATGATCCTCTGCCTTGCCAAACATGGTGTCTTTTCCCAAGGACAGGCGACTCCTGACCATATGTGAGACAAAGTTTTATCATCCTTGTCTCTAAAGAGCACTTTGCTTGCACTTTCTCCAACAGATTTACTTGTTCTTTTGGGAATGGTTATTCAGCCTTCTTCTCCAACACCACAGTTCAAAGGCATTAATTCTCCTTTGTTGTTGTTAGGTGCCATTGAGTCATACAGAACTCATAGCGATCCTATGAACAAAATGCCTGAGCACTGTTCATACATAGAGTTTCTGGATGCAAGCCATTTCAGAAGTGGATGCCACTCCTGCTTACAGGCCCATCCTAGTAGGGAAGCTCCAGCAAACACTGTCCACCATTTAGTTGTCCATATTCTTGGTTCAACTTTCACAATCATAGGAAGCAATTAAAAATACTATACTTTGCATCAAGTGCACCTTATTCTTTAAACTGACATTGTTGCTCTTTAGAACTTAGAGGTAGAGGTCCTTGAAAGTGAACTTCCCCAATGAAACACATCTCTTGATTTCTTGACTGCTGCTTGACTGTGGATCCAAGTAAAATTAAATTGTTGACAACTTCAATCTTTTCTACATCTATCTTTTTATTAATTTTATTATTAATATTATTTTATAAAAAGTTTACAGAAAAGTTGGGTTTCATTCATTCATTCATTGTTGCACATTTCCTTCCCTACTCCCTTCCCCTGGTTCACTTAAAAAAAAATTCACTGTTGCATAATATCCTCCCTTCTCCCCACCCCTCCCCAAGTACACTTTGTTATATACCTCTTATTCTGGACCCTTGTCATACAAACAATGCCTAATCATATATTCCTTTTAAACAGTTATTTCCTTCGTCTGTTGCAATGCAGTGTTCATCCTTTATCCCCTTTTTTCTTGGTTTCCTCCAATCCCATGTCAGTCCTGTTTATAACAGTGGTGTTATGCAGTATCTTCATGTATCTTGATGTTGCCTATTGGTCCATACTAATGAGGATTTTTGATTTTCTGATGTAGTGCTGTAATCCATACTAATAATTTTCAGCCTTGATAGTCTTTTCTAAGTGTTTCAACTCGTCTTCACTTTCTGCAAAGGAAATTATGTCATCTGCATCATGCTGTTGTTGTTGTTCTTAAGTGCCGTCGAGATGTAGGCAACTCATAGTGACCCTATGAATGAAAGTCCTCAACCCTTGTGTGACTTTCATCCTTTCTCCAGGTTCATAGGGTTTCCAGAGGCAAGTTATTATGGAAGTGAATGCCACTCCTGCTTCCAAGCTTGTTTTAATCAGGGAGCACCACCAAACACTGTTTGCCATGGGTAACCATTAAAGCAATTGACACATCAGTGTCACAGTGTTCAGCTTCACAGCAACCACAAGTTACCTCTGTATGGCAAGTGGACACACCAGGGCTATACAACCTACAAGAATGTTTGAACAAGGACAATGAAAAACTGGCGCAAAGGGCACAGGTCCCCAGGGACCCCAGGTCATCTGGCAAGTCCACTCGGCCAACACTCACTTGTGGCAAAAAGAAAGCCACAAGCGCCTGAGTGTTCCATCCTTACCTCTCTTCCAGAAGCCAGAGGCCTCTCCAGCTGACACTAAGACTCCCAAGACTCTATATATATATAATCTGCATCATACATGTTGTTAATGAGGATTTCTCCAAATCTGAAGTCATATTCTTCTTAATATAATCCATCTTTTCAAATTATTTGTTCATCATACAAATTTAATCGATGTGGAGAAAAGATACAACACACACCTTTCTTGATCTTAATTTATGCCCTGTTTCTTTGTTCTATTCTGGCAATTGCTTCTTGGTCTACTATTTCCTGTGTCAGTCAAGGCACTGTTCTCCTATGCAAAACGTAAACCTAAGCATCTTGCTGGACAACTATCATAATATCCCCATAATATTCAATTGTAACTGTTTTACCTGCTAAATATAATTTAAGCTTCCCCAGTCCTCTTCATGCTCACCTGTGCCACTTTTGTCCAAATTACCGTTCTTTTCACTCGAACTTCTGTAATACTCTCATGGATTGTCTACCCATGACCCTCTTGCCCACCATGACTCTCAATATCACTATGTCTTTTCAAAAAGAATGGGTTTATTTTTCAAAATTTAGACGTGGTTTTGTAACTATACATTCTGCTTAATACTCATCAAAGACTTACCACTGATTATAAATCTTGGGGGGAAAATTCTCCAAATCTCCTATAAAATCCTGCAGAGTCTAGCACCCACCTACTCTCTGGCTGTATCTTGCTCAGTGATTTTCTTCCTCTTTTCTTCAATCACATTCTCTGCTTTCAGTTCCAGGAAACTCACAGGCTACCTCTCTTGGAACATATCGTATCTGATGTTTCCTTTATTAGAATACTTTTCCTTTCCTCTCCTCATTTCACACTTCCTACAGTGCAGAGCTGCTGTACATAGGGTCTCTATATGTCACAGGCAATTCAACGACATATAACAATAACAATATACTATATTGGTTAATTTTTGTTATTTAAACCTCTTGTTTAGGGTAAAAAAGACCTCATAGAGAACCTTTGTATTTAAAAGTTAGTTTTTATTATATTTTGGAGGAACGTTCTTCTAAGTGGTACAATACTCTTCTGTCAATATGCCGTTCTGAGGTAACCTGGAGTTGTTTGATACTAAACCTTGTGCCATTGAGGTGTCAAGTGCCATAACAGTTATCTGTAGTGGACAGTGTTTGGTGGAGCTCCCAGTTTAAGACAGGTTTGGAAGCAGGAGTGGCATCCACTTCCTAAACAACATGCCTCTGGAAACTCTATGAACTTGGATAAATGATGATAGTTATAGAAAGGCTTCAGGCCTTTTGTTCATAGGGTTGCTACGGACGTGCTCAACTCCATGGCAATCAACAACAACAATCAGCAGACTTCCTGGTTGTATCAATTTTCTTGATATGTGCCTTCTCTCTAAAATCCCTAATGGTAGCAGCAGTCCTATTTGTATTGCTGTGTTTAATTACCATTTGTCTGCCCCATAAGAATGTAAGTTCAATGACCACAAGGTCTGTGTCAGATTTTGTTAACTATCTTCATAATTTAACAGAGTGCCAGAAGTGCTTTAAGTACTCATTATATGTTTATAAAATAAATGAGCATCAGTAACACTGATTCTGTTTTCTTTCATTGTCTGAACTTAATGGCAGTTTGAAATTGAAGAATGTCAGTTCATAAGACCTAGAAAGGAATTTTCTAATGGAATATTTTATGAAAGCGTATTTGGAAAAATCCAAAATGGGTGCTCTAACTTTGGGAGATAAACAGAAATCTTTCACCATTGCCTTCTTCTCCTGGATTGAAGGTTCTCACCTGAAATTCACATTGTGCCTTTTACTTTTATCTCTTCTTCATTTCTTTCAGATAATCTCTCAAAATTACAAGGTAATTGTCAACCAGGACAAAAACAATCAGGATTTGAATGCATTTGTATGTCTCCAGAAGACGACTGTAGGTAAGAGAGATCCTATGGCTGTGTTGGAAGTTGTAAAAGTCAGTCTAGAATAATATATAATAATATAGCTTGATGAAGGAACTGAGATTGTTGAAAAGCAAACATGAGACATATTATAGTTTTACATGACTAATATCTCTGTGCTCTGTTAAATGCCTCCTTCCCTACTAGGCAGCAAGCTTTCTTAATTATCTTTCAGCCTAGGTCCCTAAGATTTCATGGTTTTTCTTTACTAAAATAGTCTCATTTTGAGTATAAGGACATATTCCTGTCCATTTTAAAACTCTAGTCTTAGTTATCTCAGCACTTCTCCCTTTTCCTTTAAAATAAGTTGAGTTTGTTACCCTAAAAACTTAAAATGGAAAATAGAGTTATGAACAAAGACTTTGCACACATGCATACATACATACATATGTATGTTCATACATACGTATGTACATACATACATACACATAGATTTACCTGTTTATGCCTTCTTGTTGAGGCAGAAAGCATAGAGGAGAAAAATGAAAGGTCCTGATATGATTGCCATTATTATCTCCTCTTTATTGGTAGAACTACCATTTCTTTACCTGAATCATCCCAAGAAAGCCAATATTTCTTAAAAGCTTGTTTAAGCTAAGTTGGATAGTCAAAATTTTGTTCGTTTAATATTAAATATTTTTATTAGCTTAACATTAAATCTTTTCCTTCTCTTTGCCACAAATTAAATGCCAAAATAGGAAGTCTAAGGCTAAAGTGGTAATTCTGGCATCTCCTACAGATTGGGGCTCCTTCCTGCTCTCTCCTCTGTCATCTTTCATGTTATTTCATGGTCTAAGACTGTTCTACTGGATCAAGAAGGGAATAAAAAGATAAAAATAGGCACTTTCCTTATTTTTAAGATTATTACTAGAAAATCCACCATCTAATTTCATATATCTAACTTGCACTTTCACATGGTATACGAAGTTGAATAGTTTCCCTCAAATGCATTCCCTTCCCAGAATCTCAGAATGTGACCTTATTTGCAGATATGGGCTGTTAAGTTTCCATGAGGTAATACTTGGGTAGGGTGGGTACTGATCAAATATAACTAGGGCCTTATAAGAAGATGTAGAAACAGATAGGAACACTATGCAATGACGTGAGCAGTGATTGGAGCGATGCATATACAAACCAAGGGATGTTACGGACTTTCAGAAATTAAAAGAGAGAAAGGTGTATTCACAAACACTTTGATTTTGGACTTATAACCTCAATAACAAACAGATTTATCCTGGATAGGGTTAAACCAGGCTGCTTCTCGGAGGCAAAGATTCTGGGGCTTTCATCTGACACATTTTGGACATGTTGTAAGGAGGGACAGGTCCTTAAAGAGGGACATCATGCTTGGCAGGTGGGAGGAACTGTGCAAGAGGGGAAGACCCTCTAATGAGGTGGATTGATTCAGTGACTGAGGTAATCGGGATGGGAGTGTCAGAGACAGTGCGATTGGCACAGGACAGAGCAGGGTTTAGGGCTGTTGCACATAGGGTCACTATGAGTTTCAAGCAACAAGACAACATATAACAATGACAACAACCTCGATAACTGTGATAGACTGGCAATTAGAGAGATGTGAATCAAAATACAGTGAGATAATATCTCACTCTAGTAGCAGTGACAAAGTTTAACAGGACATTAAGTAATAAATGTTGGAGAGGACGTGGAGAGATAGGAACTCTCATACACTGTTAGTGGGATTATAAAATGGTCCAACCACTCTGGAAAGCAGTTTGGCATTTTCTCGAAACGCTGAACAGAGAAATTCCATATGATCTAGCTATTGCACTGCTTGGAATATACCCCAAGGAAATTAGAACTGAGACCAAATGGATATTTTTACACCAAAGTTCACAGTACCATTATTCATAATTGTAAGAACATAGAAACAGTCCAAATGTCCAATCATAATTGAATGGATTGGGAAATTGTGGTACATTCATATGATTGAATACTGTGCAGCATTAAGGAGCAATTATTTTGAAAATCACTACATAACTTGGGAGAGACTGAAGGGCATTATGCTAAAAGAACTAATTTAATCTCACAAGAATAAATATTGCATATGACCATTATTGTGAAAACAGAAGGATAACTAGTAAAATGTCTATGGAGATCCAAGGGAGGAAAGGGTGGGAACAGAGGGGTGAGGGTTAATGAGGGAGGGAATCTTAGGGTCACACAATTTGGTAGGTGGTGGTTGTTGTTATTGTTGTTGTTGTTTTTAGTCGCCTATGTACAACAGCCCTAAACCCTGCTCTGTCCTGTGCCAATCTCACCATGTCTGACACACTTAACCCTATTACCCCAGTCACTGAATCAATCCATCTCATCAAGCATCTTTCTCTCTTGCATTGTCCCTCCA